TTACTTTTGGATCATATTAATATGGGCTCAAAGATTTATTTTCTCTTTGCCCATAATTTTTCTAGTTATCTTAACAAAAAATTTGGTATCTAGGTCGCTACAAAATAAAATTTCAAATTATACTATGTGATGTTTCTTATCCAGTTACTCCATTTTGATTTGGTAAAGATTTCAAGAAATATCATATACCAAATATACAATTTTTTTTTTTTTAATATTCCTAAAATTAAGCTTCTAATTCAATGGCTCTTCGAAATCACTATAGAATTCAAAAAAAAAAAAAATGCTGAGGGTCTATAAAATGATCAGTGTGTGCTATTGATTTTCGAATTCTAGTGAAGATTCTAGATGGTCGAGATAACGAAATGAATGTAAAGAGTTGTGATTTAAGGAATTTTGACTAATCTATTAAATGAAAGGGGCGTGTTGGGAGGAACAAAATTAGCAACCAATTGATTAACGTGTATGAGTGGAGTGATTTCCTCATTTTTTTTTATTTTACTATAATTTAGCAGTAATTCGAAGATAAAATTAATTACAAAGTAATTTTTGAAATTTTATCAAAAACTATGTAAGGGGCTCAATTTCCACTTATCTTAAAGTATTGGGGGCTTGTTGGACACTTCAATTTGCTGGCACATGTTTCTTTGAATTGGGCCGCCTAAGATACTCATTCTTATCGGGCCACTCCAATCAATTCCCAACTTTGTATCTAAGCATTATAATCGGGCTGCTATTTTCAAGAATTCATATACCTATTGAGCTTTATTTTGAGAATTCTGGGGATGAGTTTAATCTGGCTTAAAATACACATTGCATCTGTGAGTGCCCCACAAGAATTTTGAAAGTGACGCAAGATCTCATTTCTCATCTATGGTGGAAACTCCAGTGTAAATAAAAGTTTTTAAAAAAATTGTTCTATTTGGAATTATTTATTATTCAATCATTGCCTCTAGTGGAGTGGTTATTGGTGGCATTTTCCTTATTAACCACGTGGAAATTATACTATTTTCATTTTGTGTTTAGAAAGATCTAATGCATAGATACTGCTACATTAACATTTTAAATTGGTCTGTCGAGATGTGAATTATGGAATGTGAAATAGAGATTCAGCATCATGTGGTGTTCTAGC